AGCTAATTAGAAGCGAAGATCGGTAAAGTGTTTGCCGATATCTAAAGAGAGTTCTTGTACCCCAAATTTGTAATATTCATTGAGATAGTAGATTTCAAATTGTCGAGGCTGTAGATGTAGCCCAAGGTGAACCATGTGAATTGTGTGTCTTTGTGGTGTGTCTTTTGTTTATTCTTTATTTCATGCACTTAATTTATGATTATATTTATCTATTTTACATTGAACCAACTATATATAAAATCTTGAATGGGATCCCCATAATTGGTTTTCTAATTATGCAAACGAGGGATTCCAAAGACCCTACATTATATGCACTTTTTCTATCCACAATTTACAAATGGATAACACGACACTTTTATCGAATGGTGCAAAAGCTATGAAAGGGAAGCTACACGAAAACAAATCCCTTATCTATCTATATCTATATATGTATATACGGAAAAAACTAACAATAAGTCTGGACTTATAGTGAATAGTAGCTTAGGTTCTGCTCTCAACCATCAAATCTTGATCAGATGGTTCAAAATATATATGATTTTTTGAATTTTAATCATTTTCCTCCAAATTGGATATAGAGTGTGTATTAAAAAATTGGGGGCAAAAGAAAAAATAATTTTTTAAAGTATAAAATAACCAAAATACCCCTAAAAATAATTTTTAAAAATACTTTTTTATGTGTTTATATGGTCTGAGATAGTGTCAGGTATATACCCTAAATTTTTTTCTTAAAACGATTTGTATAAAAAAGATTAAAATTCAAAATAATGATATGTATTTTCATTATTCGAGCGAGATTTGATTGCTGGGAGCAGGATTTAAGTTACCATTCATTTTAGGTCCAGACCTATCAATAGGTTTATATATATATATATATATATATATAGAAGATACTACAAAAACGCCTATAGGCTAAAATAAACAGTGATTTCGCCTACTTTCATCACCGTTCAAAGTTCATTGTACAGTCACGATTGTCAAGTAGTATTTTATTTTTTATTTATTTTCTACAAATTGGAATGATCTTAAATTTGGAATATATATTCATAAAAAATAGGCTAATATACAAAAAATATCAAAAACATATTTTACATGAAATAAATTGACTAAAATACTCTTAAAATGTTTCAATTGTATTTTGATCAATTGTTTTTTATGAATTATTTTTTATATATTTTTATTAGCTGTACCTCACTAAGATATACACACGTTCCAAATTTCAGATCATTCCAATTTGTAAAAAACACTATCAAAAACTTATAACCGTACAATAAACTTTGAACAGTGAAATGACTTGGTGAAATCACTGTTTATTTTCGTCTATAGCCGATGGGAAGACCTCTCCGCTATATATATATATAAAACGCTTGTATACGCTCGTTTATATATATAGAAAACGCTTGTATACGCTCGTTCGCGTATACGTATGAGGTGCGATCAACGGCTTGGGGTAAAACCCAACAAAATCAGCAGTTTGGAAGCCGTTCTGCCCTTTTTCAGCGAGAAAAACCCCTTTCTCGCCCAAACTCCTTGAATTCTGGCTGAAGCTGGCAGAATCTCTTTTTCTCTTTTTCCATGAGGAAACTCGCTGAAACCTTGGGAGAACGGTGAGGAAGCTCGCTGAAACCTTGGGAGAACGGTGAGGAAGCTCGCTGAAAGCTTGGATGGGCCTCGCTGCAACCCTCTCTAACAAATCTCGCTAGGTAAAGGAAGCAAGCTCTCGCTGAAACCTGACACTGAAAGGTAATTTCTCTCTATCCATTTTGTGTTTGTTGAAATTCTCATATGAAAATTGGATGAATTTATGCACTGTTCTGATCAAGAATTTAGGGAAACTTCTCTTAGTTGTAATCAACAATTGACGTGAAGAACGTAAGAAATCAGAAAAGAGGATGACTTCTCCTAGGTAATGAACATAGATTTCGTTGATCTAGAATCAATCCAACTCAGAATGGATAAAGTTAGCATCAAGTGTAACATCGTAGATTTTATTTAGTATGCTGGTTAGTGATACCATCCATTATCATTTCCACAAAGTATTATAATTTAAAATATTCAATTGCAAAACCTACAAGTTTGAATACAATGAAATAAAAAGCAACATTTTGACATCCAAAAATAACAAGTCACCTTCTTCTTCCTTTTTTTTTTTTTCCAATTGAGCATATCACAATCTTCACCTTATAATGGCAAAGGAGTAGTTGTTCTTTTGTCGAGTTTTTTAATTTTGACTCAGAAGAATGTGACTCTCGCATTTGGTGCTGGGTGATGTAAATTCACCAGTCTGTGCCTTTGAATCAGTTGGTGGGAAATGAATACATTGACCACGTTAATTTATGGGGGGCTACAAATATTGGCCATGCAGATGGCAAGTTGTTTTTTTTATGCTATTGTCTTTAACCATATTCGAAATTAGTAGTCGTGGTTCAATATATGTATGTGCTGAATGGAGAGCTGCTATGAGACTGTACTCTAGATTTCTTTTTTGTTCTCTGGATTCCATGCGATGTGTGCTCTTCACCGAATAATCAGTGAACCATTTGCTTACTTATAGGTTTATTAATTGTGTAAAGTAGTTACAAATCTTGAGACTGAACTTTTTTATCGACCTCTGTTAGGATGAGGCAGAATCCTAAATGTAGAAATACATGTATGATGACACATGACTTGAACTTGTTTCGACTAGCTTCGTTCTTTATCTTAAATTTTAGAACTTCCAAAAAGGGATCCAGCTTCTGTGCTCTTGCTTGCTTAGGAACACCCTTTTTGAGGAGGTGATCACCGTTCAAGCATCAAAATGGCACAGTTGCTGAACTCAATTACTAAAAGCTGCAAGGGTTTTGTGTCTTGAGGAAGACAAAATTTCTGCATCTTGAGGAAGACAGAATTTCTGCATTTTTCCTTGCATAGATGGCCTTGTTCTATAGTGCAATACTTAGATTCCAATAAGTTATTTTCCACTTTGTTTGCTTTTATAGATGACCTTGTTCTATAGTTCAATATTGAATTATTTGCTAGTGTAGACGCATTGCTCTGTAAACCTTGATTCTTGAAGGGTTACTCCCTTTGTTGTATTTCTTTTTTCGTGGTTCCACTTGTTGACTGGTTTAATTCTTTTGCTTGTATAGATGAAGTCAGTAGTTATTTCTATATTTAGCTTTGCATTTGCAATTTGTCATATTCCTTACATTTTCAATATACTCTGTTCATTGACATATTTGCAATATGTTATGATCTAATTGAAATACATAGTTATTTAGTCCTTCACAATGTGATTATGATGAGATTATTATAGGCCCTAGCAATGTCATCCCATTCTACGAAAGCATTGGAACAATTCTTACTTGGCGTTATAGGGCGTTTGGAACAATTCTTACTCGATGCCTTTGGGCGTTTGGAACAATTTTTGTATTTATTGTGTATAATAAATGTGTGCTTGCTTGCACTCATCTTTTTAATTTTTGTAGTCTTTATTCGAAATATGTGATAGTTTTTTGGGGTTATCTTTTTATTAATGTAATTATTCCTATCGTGCAATTAAACTCATTCTCCTATTATGGTTAATATTATAGTTGTGGAATTCATCTCTCTCCTCTCTCCTCTCATCCGTAGAGAGAGTGAGATTGCTCTCCCTCTCTATGTTCCTCACTTTTGAAAATTGTTACTCCCATAACCGAAAGCTGCTTTTTTTAAGCTCTTTATCTCTAGCCACTAAAGCAATCAAAGACACTTATTTGGAATCCAATGAGATATGCTTTGGAGAGTTAATTGCAGAGATCAGTGGTAATGTAGTCATCACTTTCCGTAGATATTTATAAGTTTTGTAGTGTTATAGTTATTTCCAGTTTTTATTTGTGTAATTGAAATAGTTTATTTCCTTCTTAAATATTTTTAATCGTTTATTCTATTCAATTATTATCTTGCTTTGCATAATGATGAAATTTTTCTTCTTAGTACATTCTTTCTTCTTAATAAGATTTTTCCCAAGTATTTTGTGCATTTCGTGCAACATAGTTGGCTTTAGTTCTCAATTCATACGATTTTCCTACTTCTTCTTTACCCTCTTTCTATCTCATTTTTCCTTAAATTTTATTTTTATTTTAATTGGATGGTATTTTGGAGCTTTCACTTGGGTAATTTTAGTTTTTAATTGATATTTACCAATTTTTGTAAAAAATTATTTACTCTTGTTATATGTTGTAAAAATGTTTTTATTAGAAGTCGTTAGGCATATTATACGTTGGGTACAGGCACTTGTACCATGGTTTCAGGATTATTTCCGGTGAAGTTTCAATACTTCTTTTATCGTATCTGCTTAATTCATGAATCATATTATTTGCTTTCTGTTTATGTAAAATAAAGGGAACTTGTCTCGTTTTATAATAGATATTCAATATTTCATTAGGAAATATAATTGCGCATAAATTTATTTGGGTTTGGACCGAGCAATACAAATATAATTGCGCATGAATAGATTTTGGATTGGACTGAACAATGTGATGCCGTATACATATTTTTACTTGATCTCTGTCACAAGACTTCCAGCTGCGACATAATTTTAAGCACTGCAGCTGAATGGAACTTATTTTCCTCTTATACTTAATCTGCCCAAAGAAAGATACAGATTAGGAGACAGGCGGGTGGATGGATAAAAAGCCACCTCTCGATGAAGGTTCACATTAAATCCTTCAATTCACCCTACACTAACTGCACTACCATTGAACCAGCAAAAAGCGACATAACAGTGGAAAAGTGATCAACTTGTCAAAGTCCTCCACAACTAACCCAAAAAATGCTTTCCGGGATTATTTTGCTGGTTATGGAAAATGTAGCCAAACTAATACCATCATGCAACTCCAACATCAACTGTCAAACAAATTCTATATCGCAGCCAGTCAACCATCAGGCTCAGAATGGAAAGATCCAACACAGACAATAGCCAACAACTCCCGTACCATTCTTGACTATCCAGCATAGATCAAGATGCAAGTGCCCCCTGGAAACTCAAGCATGCTCAACAGAGTCTTTGACATAGTATTCAAAAACCATAGAAGAAGATAATAAATGAGAATTTCTTTTCCAGAAGCACGTTGGTTGTACCTTCTTAGTATCTAATTGTTAAGGGTGATGAGTTCTGCCCCATAAGTTATAAATTGCATACTTCCTTCACCAATCAAAAGAAAGAAGTAGACACCGGCTAGTCATTTAAAAACTCAGTGAGTTTTATGAATAGACTCTGCTAGTGGCTTAACAAGTCCGAAGCTGTACTTATTAATGAGTCACACGAGAAATGAGAAACTGTATTTTGATTTTCAGTGAATTTTGATGGTTTTTAAACAATGTACTTCCATGTACCAGCTCATCCCTCTTTCATATTTCTGTGAAAACCAGAAAAACACCCCTCTTTCATAATTAAGTGAAAATCAAAGGAACCCCAAACAACAATAGCATTAACTAACAAGAAGTGAACCCCAAACAACAATAGCATTAACTAACAAGAAGTGAACCCCAAACAACAATAGCATTAACTAACAAGAAGTGAACCCCAAACAACAATAGCATTAAGATAAGAAGACGTGAACCCCAAACAACAATAGAATTAAGATAACATTAATAAGGACTATTATATCCAGTAATCTTAAAAACCTAACCTAGTTAAAGGTACATGCCCTCTGCTACGCAACAATTATCAAACAAAGTCTAGGAAAAAGGTATAGTTCCTCATCACTCTGAAAACTACAATTACAATATGTTTACTGTTTATTTTTCTTCCTTTGACCTTTATCTAGCCCCTGTACCATTTAGTTCTGAAATGGAATTTCATTCTTCACTTCTAATTACACATGAGTGCACAACGCCGTCCATTCTCTAATGCTTGTCACAATTACAACACTAGATCAACAAGTGTCTGTCACCTAATTGCTACAAAGAGCCCCAAGATGTAGTTAGCAAATGCCCAATGGGGTCATTGTCCATACCTTGTTAAAGGAAAAGGGAAATGTATCAAAACCAGTAAGCAACAAATGTAATGGCACATCTCTCTCTCTCTCTCTCTCTCTTTGAGAAAGAACAAATTCTCAAAGAAACATCAATTCATAAAAGAATTGCATAATTGCTCCTGCCAAAGTACATCTCAAGCACACAAGCATGAAAATTTGAATGCAATAAAATTTCGTACAATGCAAATTGAATGCAACAAATACTTGTTTACTGATTACAATGCAAAGGACTAAAATACCTTACCATTACTTATCGTGTTCCACATTCTCACTTGACCCATCCATGCATCTTATATTGACATTTAACCTAAACGAAAAAAAATCCATTTCAAATATTTATAATTAATGAATTCATATTACCATCATAAAAAATACGAAAGATGGAACAATAGTTCATTCATACTTTAAAAATGCGACAGCTGGACAATTCTTTCTGTCATGTCCACTCTTTTTGCAAACTGCGCACTTTCCGGTAACTTCTTTCTCTTTCGCTTTCGCTTTCTCTGCCTCTATCCCAGCCCAAGTTTGTAACTGTGTCATTCTCTTCGATAATTTCACTCATGTAATTGATGCTTTCTGCAACTTCTTCTCCAAACAACTTCATAACTTTGTGTGTATATATCTTCGAAGCGTGCGCCTCGATGTCACACGCGGTCCTCAAAAAAGGCGTAGATGTGATGTTCTTTAAGTCATTTTCTCTTGTCTTAAGAAGTTTTTTATCATGCACTTTTACAGTAGTTTCCAACAATGTGCACAAGCTTGTATTGGAAGTCACATAATTTTTGAAGTGCTTATTCATTTCTTCACTTCTCTAAATCGAAGACATACTGGCTATGAATGCATTTGCAATGTATGCATTGCTCTCGACATTTGTACAATCTATTGAGTCATTCATTATGTTGAAGATCATATTTCTCAATTAAAGATCTCCATTCTGACTCAAATTCTTCCTTAGTTTCACTTATTATACAGTTCCTGTAATAGTCTGAAAAAGATAGACTCCTTCGCAAGACATGTCACCATTTTTCTTTGAGCTTTGAAAGTATGTGCCACTTAAAATAATGATGTCTGCTTTTATTCAAACCTTGTCTCACTACAGCGGTTATTGGAGGATCCTGATCGATGATAATGACTCTCGGTTGACGTCCACCTACTGCTTCAAGCTAATTTTCAAATACCCATACAATGGATTCCACCTTCTCATCAAATATAAGTACAAACCCAAAAAATATTGTGCTAAGGTGGTGATTCACTCCAAGTATGGGAGCAAAAGGCATGCCAAAAGAATTTGTCTTATACGTGGTATCAAAAGTGACCACATCTGAAAAGTGGTTGTAGAACACCCTTGACATGGCATCTACCCATAATAGGTTGACAATAAGACTTTCTTCATCTAATTTCACCTTATAGAAAAAAGATGGATTCAATCTTTTCATATCAATTAACCATTCCATCGCACGGTTCCAATCTTCCCTTTTGAATTTTTTTTTCTTGTTTCTTATTTGGTTTTTGATGTCTTTTTTTGAGAAAGGGATATTATCGATCCATCCATCTTGCTCTAAAAAGATATCATAGATATTTCGAGACTTTACCAAAGCGGAGCTCATGGAGTCTATCATTGTCTTTATCGTATTCGATATTGTTCGGTGCGATAGGATGAATTGGGCTTTCCTTGGAGATACAAAGACGTGATTGTGATCCTTAACAAACCTTGTGACAACCCACTCATTGTTGGCATTTATACTTACACACATCTTTGCTGGACATCCACACCTTGACCGAGGGATTTTTTTGTAGGTAACACTTCTTTCACCCTGCGGAATCTTTCCTTCGAACATATAAAATCCCTAGTAGTTCTCTTTCCATCCTTATTGTTGTCAGTAGTTTGCTTTCTACACCAAACACATGCACCAATGCAAAAGTCTTGTAAAACTCAAATGCATCATTTTCATAACTGAATTTCATTCCTATGTAAGGTTCCTCTATTTTTGTCCCCTTGGATGATGACGCATGTTCCCTGTTTCCGGAATTTGTGAACTTATTGGGGGGCAGGGATGCAACCAACGGATCTTGCTCCATAGGCTAACCATGTTGTCATCCTCTGGCCATGTGGAGGATGCCACACTTTCTGAAATGGTGAGCTCCATCTCATGTACTAAAATTACCCTATAAAAAACACATTTCATTTGTCAATTAATGACTTCAACACTTCACATACTTTTTAATAAATGCACCCATCACATTCCATTTCAGTTCCATAAATGTAGAATGAGCATATTATGAACATATTGGGAGCATCCAAGACGTAGTTAATTTAAAAGAAAATGATGCCCAATGCACAAGAAGGAACAACAGACACCACTAAAACTCCATTACAATACCTTATAGCTCTATTTTTTGTACACAATGCCTGTCACAGCAGTCATGGGCCACAAGAAAAAGACCAATTACATCATAATGACCAAAATTAAGATTCACACAAACAAACCTCTTAGATATATTGCGTGTGAATAAGGTGGAAAGATTAATGCTTGATGGAGCTTCACAGGTGGTCCCCCACTTTGATACTATTCCATTCAAGACTAAAACCACTCATTCGCATCTTGGAGTTCTATACATGGGATCCAATGTCCCATTCAAGACCAAAACCACTCCTTCGGATTTTGGAGTTCTATATATGGCATCCAATTCTTCACACGGCTTACTCTATTCCTAAAACCCAAACTCCAAATAACCACCAACATAGATAATTTTTTTTTACTCCTAAATTACAATGGAGAATGCAGCGAATTGCAATGCTATTTTTCATTAAAAACAGAATTTGCCTCATGAACAACAAAAATAAATTTGACTGCATTAAAGGATTTGCCTCATACATTTTTTGGTAGAGTAATTTAAATACATTTTGAAAACAGCTATTAGCTCATTTTGCTAAATCATTCTATACAAGCCAACAACTAAACACCCGTCTGAACCAGTTAATCAATTCACATAAGAGGAAGTTCAGATTTCTTACAAGACCTTATCGTATTACATGAAGATGTTAAATGACAATTCAATCGATTCTTGGATTCAAGATTTAAAAATTTAACCTGCATCAGCACCATTTATGTGGTTTATAATATTTAACCACATTGATTAAATGGGCTAAATCAGTGTGACACCAAAATTAACAAAACTACATTCGAACAACTACAAAAAAAAAACCCATCGTAACAGTATGAAGCCCATTATGGCAGACACAGAGAACTCTTTATAGACATAAAGTAAAGCAATAAAAGAAAACACCGGAAAATTACAATTTGTTATGATTTGTTTTCCAACTAATCATTGAATCATCATATCCATATAGAAAAAAGAATTTCATCTGATCGAAGAAAATCAGAATAAACAGGATTGATTCATCACAGAGAAAAATTGAAAGTAAAGAGGGACTAGTTGGGCCACTTGAGTAGCTGCGTTCCTTTTAGAGAACACCTATCACATGATAATTTGATGGTTTAAATTTCCATATGTGTAAATCTGGTACAATGGGTGGAATAAATTAGTAGATGAAGAATACAACGCATAGCTAAGAAGTGACTGCAAGTTTGTAACCCATCATGCAACACCACTTCCTCTCCACGGCCATCACCCCATCAATACTAATGTGTACAAGCAAGACCGTTGTCACAAACATTCTGCGGCTTGCAAGAATGAGTTTCCACATTTCCTAGTATTCAATTGTATATTCCATTAAGGTAGGGAGTGTTCTCCACATATAGCACTTAATCTCTCTATAAAATCTTAACAAAGATAGCTATAATTAGGATTGTCCAACAGTGTGACACCAAAATTAACAAAACTACATTCAAAGAAAAATCAGAATAAACAGGTTTGATTCATCGCAGAGAAGAATTGAAAGTAAAGAGGGATTGTATTCAAAGTTGTAGGTTTTGCAATTGAATATTTTAAATTATAATACTTTGTGGAAATGATAATGGATGGTATCACTTACCTGCATACTAGATAAAATCTCCGCTGTTACACATGATGCTAACTTTATCCATTCAGAGTTGGATTGATTCTAGATAAACGAAATCTATGTTCATTACCTAGGAGAAGTCATCTTCTTTTCTGATTTCTTATGTTCTTCACGTCAGTTGTTGACTACAACTAAGAGAAGTTTCCCTAAATTCTTTATCAGAACAGTGCATTAGTTCATCCAATTTTCATATGAGAATTTCAACAAACACAAAATGAACGGCCTATATTAAGATTGAGAAGAGAGAAATTACCTTTCAGTGTCAGCTTTCAGCGAGTGATGGCTTCCTTTACCTAGCCAGAGTTGTTAGAGAAGGTTTCAGCGAGAAAACCATTTCAGCGAGGGTTTCAATTTCAGATAGAGAGAGAGAGTTTTAGCGATCTAGAGAGAGAGTGAGGGTTTCATCGAGGGTTTCGATTTCGGCTAAAGAGAGAGAGAGTTTCAGTGAGTTAGAGAGAGAGATACAGCGCGCTAGAGAGAGAGGCTAGTTTTTTCAGCGAGCATCCAATCTTCCAGCGAGCTTCGAACACCCAAGTGTTTTTTCAGCAAGCTTTTTCCAGCGCCCATCCAAGCTTTCAGCGAGCTTCCTCATGGAGAAAAGACAGATAGAGATTCTGCGAGCTTCAGTGAGCATCCAAGGAGTTCGGGCGAGAAAGGGGTTTTCCGCGCTGAAAAAGGGAAGACGGGCTTCCAAACCGTTGATTTTGATGGGTGTTACTCCAGCCGTTGGTCGCACCTCATAGTTATACGCGAACGGGAGTATGCATGCTTTATATATATATATATATATATATATATATATATATATATATAGTAGTAGTAGTAAAACTAAAACTTAGTAACTAACTAGTTAGACGAAGACTATCTACGACTACGTTACGTCGTCGTCGACGAACGAAAGTAAA